GCAGCATTTATGGCACTAAATTAGCACATTTCAACTCGAATCTAGTGATACTAATTTAGTGCCATAAATGCTGCTATTTTTGTCTATAAAGTTGGTCAAAATTTTAAAACTTTGACTTAAGACAAAAGCTAGATGTACACTTATTCGCGGGCGGAGGGAGTAGTCATCTGCTTTGAAAATATATAGCGCAGCTGGAGAAATATTTGCAATGGACCACTATGTTAGAATATGTATAGGACTAGAGATAGACTAGGATTCTACATATCATCTTGTACTCCAAGTCATAGGCTTCTTGCCCTCTAAGGCTGGTCATAGTGGGGAGTAACTTAGAGTAGTAATATGCATACGTTACTACTCTATGTTACTACCCTTATAGTGGGAAGTGTCATATGTGTAGTAACATATACATGCACATTTATTGTCTTGTAGACTCATTTTGCATTGGAAAGCGCTATGTGATGGTAACATATTAGGTTACTCTATTTGCCTCTCTCCTCATTAACTACTTGCCACATCAACATTTTTACTTATGTGGCATCTATGTTACTACCTATGTTACTCCCACTATGACCAGCCTAAGTCTTGTACACCTAACTGGCCCTTGCCCTCTAAGTCTTGTACTCCAAGTCATAGGCTTCTTGCCCTCTAAGTATAGGACCACTATGTTAGAATATGTATAGGACTAGAGATCAATTCCGATTTTCCAATTTTCTTAGTAGATTAATCTTCTTTAGCCACCAAATAAATTCTATAGCCCTCATGTTCCGGTGAAAATCAGTGAAAGATTTGGCGGCGATCAGGTGCCACGATTGTCTCGATCACGCGCCGACGCCGCTGCATGTGGCCAGCTTCAAGATCGAAACTGCACCAGCGAGCGCCATCGAGAACTCCATCGACAAAAAAAAAGCAACGACAGATCGATGAGGCACAGGCATGGCCGGGCGCTGCAGCAGCCGGCCGATGCAATCACTCGGTAGGCGTGGCCCCGGCAGTCCGGTGGAGCGGCGCCACGCGCTCAGGCAGCCAAGCCCTGGACACCAATGCTCCACCGCCACGCGCTCACGCAGCCAAGCCCTGGACACCAATCACGCCGTCTTCAATTCCGATCGATCGCCTCAAACACAACGGCACGCTGTGATTGTGGGAGGAATCCGATTTTCCCGCATGGTTCCACGCAGACCCGGCCATGCCAACACATGGATACGAGCCTCCATCTAGGCAGGGCCACGACGTGTCGGCGGCCCGTGCACATCATCTGCTTCGGGCTCACACATCTACGCCAAGACACCGACAAGCACCTACGCCCACACGCTCCTATCTACATCGACAAGCACCTACGCCAAGACACCTTCGGGCTCAAACTGCATTGCTCCACGCCGTCAAGCTGTACGACTACATTACATCTAAGGGAAAAAAATCGACATCGAACATGCGAGAAACGACTTCGACGTGCATCATCCACATGCCAGGCCGGTGTGGACAGAGATGCAATCTTCCTCGACTTCTTCGGTAGACACGGCATCGACACTTCATCATCGACACGCCGCTGCAACGCCATTGCCGACACTTCGTTGCCAAGGTCTTTATCAACATGGTCTTCACCAACATCTTCGTCAACACACCGCGGCCGCCTCGTTCATAAAATGGACACGTAGCGTCCTCTGACAGACTTTTCTGCAAGACGCAACTTCGACGACGGCATCGACCGCGTCATCCACGACGACACGACTGCATCGACACGGCGTCACTATAATGACGCGCCCCTACACGGCCACACGGTTCTGGCAAAACCGATGTGTGCTCGATGGGCTTCCCCGTTCCTTGCAAAACTGGTGGACTCATCGTCGACGGCACTCTCTGACATCTGCAAGATGCATCGTCCACGTTTGCAGCCCCGTCATCAGGCCCGTCGACGAGAGGGGCCAAAGTAGCCGACCGCATAGGGCCCCCAAAATTGTGGGGCCCCGATTTGAAGAAAAACGTGAAGTAACTACGTGTGCATGCAGCGCCCGCTACAGCTTCAGCCCTAGGGCCGTGACTCTCTCGTGATCTCCCATGCCCCCATGCAATGAATCAACCAGTGTTGGTCTGCTGCAGATCGGCGGCGGCGACGCTCCACCTACTAGCTGATCCGTGCTTGCACTAGCGGCAGTGATTCCCGTCCTCCACCTGGTCGCCGGGCGCTCGCCTTTTCTCCGCTACACCGAAGACTTGCAGCCCCTCCAAAGCCGAGAAACACAGGTGCTGCTCGTCGCCTCAGCCACTAATCAATGAGTAATTTACTGATTTCTTGGGCTGAGAGAGGCAAACAACAATAGTAGAAGATGCATTGGAAGTTTGAACTGATGACATGCTGTATGTGTTGATTTATAAACTGATGTCTTTGAACAATTAACCACGGAGTAATTTAGAACTAAAAAAATGTGTGCATGCATGGATGAAACCCAAATCGATGCATTTTTATATCAATTTTATTTCATACTACAGAAAAATAAGATGATGACATATTTTCATTGGCGACCTGCAACAACAGGAGTTTCTACACATATGGGGGGAATGGATGAAGCAAACTATTTATTTGGTATTCTTTTGTACCCCTTATTATTATTTGTATTTCTTTGTCTTGTTTGATCTATTTGGTTCGATTGTTAATCATCGAGTTTCAGTCTACATATATCATGCAGTCGACCAAATTTATATATATGCTTTGGCATGAGGTTTTCCTTGAATAGCCAGGAGGTATTATTTGGCCACTGCAATATGAGATATTCCTTGGATACTTCTTTAGTTATACGAATTTTAAAATTTTAGGACCCCATTTTGTATTTTGTCCCGGGCCCCCAAAATTCCTGGAGACGGCCCTGTCCGTCATAGCGCATTTTTTTGTGCCTCCGCCTTTATGCGGCTTCATCATCCACGACAACTACATCATCGACCACGACTACCTCGGCCACGGCTACATCATGATCAGCTACCTCGACATCGACATATAGGGCTACGTCTACAACTCATCGGCAACAACTCCAGTCAACAGCGTCCGCGTCGTCACTAGCGTCCACGCCACTCCCGCTGTGACTGTGGGAGGAAATAGAGGAGAGACAAGGAAGGCACCAGAAGGGGACGCAGTCACCGCCTTAGGTGCCGACACATCAGAGACGCAGTTGATAACGGCGCAACGAAGAAGACGACAGAAGCGCAAGACTTCAAATTCAGTCGCAATCGTCCGCTTCACGCCCGCTACGACTGAGGGGGATGTTAGAATACGTATAGGACTAGAGATAGACTAGGATTCTACATATCATCTTGTACTCCAAGTCATAGGCTTCTTGCCCTTTAAGGGCCTGTTCTAAAACTCTCCCACTCTGAGCTTTCCAAAGTCCACGTAAAAAACGAAGCCGAACGGATTAGCTCCAAGAAGCTGAAATAGCGAAGCTGGCATGGGCCGTAGTGCAATTTTACGGAGCGAGCAAAACCCAGCTTCACAAATTAACGGAATCTGGAGTTCCATGTATTTACGGCATTTTGCCACCGCCAAGGAAAACGATTGGCGCTCACCTCCTCCTCGCAGGGCTCGCGTACAGAACCGAGCCAGTCCCTCTCGAACCATCCTCTGCGTACAGATCCGCCCACCCGGCCTCTTTCCCGCCGGATCCCCTGCTCAGCGGCGCTTGTCCCGCCACCAGTTTGGAGCAGCGAGCCCGTGGCAATGGCGAGCTCAACAGAACGCCATTGCCGCCGGACCAGGAGCAGCAGCCAGAAGGCCGAGCCCTCTCGCCCAAACCACAAGGTGAGCTCCAACAAAGATGGTCTACCTATGTCAGACTTGGTGTTCATGTGTTGTAAATGCAAACTGATTTTTTCTGCAGTGCAGTATGTGTACTGCTAAGATATAAGCAAAATTCAACCAGAGATATTAGTTTGAATTGTAGTACTGGTAAGATATTAGTAAGCAGTATGAACTAGAGATTGTGAAGTGTAGTACTGGTAAGATATTAACAGTTAGAATTGTGTAGTCCTGCCAAGAACGCTCTAAGTTTCGTGTAAATAGCAGAACCATGTTATAACATAATTGCTAGCATACAGATTGATTCCAGTTCTAACATGAGGAGTCGAATGTAGTTTATTTGTGAAGTGTAGTCCTGATATGACATGCTTTTGGCTTTGCAAAAAACTTCAGTTTTCATATTATCCTAGTATATGTGAGGACCAATGTGACATGCATTTTCGTAGAGAAGTGTCAAGCATGACTGCTGAATGGACTGTTGAAAACACTCGGATTGTGTGCGAGTTGTTCGTCGAGCAAGTGGATGCTGGAAATAGGCCAGGCAATTATTTGACCCCAAACGCATTTGATGAGGTGACAAGACAATTTAAGATGAGAACCGGGCTTGACTACACACATACGCAATTGAAAAACAAATGGGACAAGCTTAAAGCTGATTTCACCTTGTTCAAGAAACTCAAGTTTCGGGAGACCGTAGCCGGATGGGACTATGTGAACAACACCGTGTCACAAGATGATGAGTGATGGAAGAAGGCTAAAATTGTGAGTTCTTTTGCTGTTCAAGATGCCAAACTACTCGATTGCAACACAAAAGATGATTGTTGCGGCTACCATGACACTACACAACTACGTCCGCCTCCATGACAAAGAGGATCTCCACTTTCTTCGGTATGAGAGGGATCCGGATTATGTTCCAACTATTCCTAATGCATCGGATGCTTCAACAACGGCAGAAAGCGGTCCTAACATGGATTTGTTTAGGCATGAACTAGCTACAGCCATTGCTCTTAGTTGGTGAAGAAATCATGTTCATGATTTTCTATGCGTGACCATATTGATTTGCAAACTTATTGGCAAATGAAACTTTTGTGGCATGAACAAGTATTTCTGCTAAATTATGACCTATGTTAGCTCCAAAGATTTGGGATCTTTCAAATATTACATGATTGTTGTATATTTGTTGCTCCATGTTGCTCCATGTAGATCTCTCTGTACATGTTCCTGTACAGCAAAAGTAGCTGCAGTAGCTACTATATTAACAAGAACTTTGCATGCTATAAGCCCAAGGCACCACGTACAGCCCCGCCCAGCCATATGTGTATCTTTTTTTAACACGCCAAATGTGTGTATCACCACGGACAGCCTAGCTAGCCCAAGGCATGACAGAAAAAAAAACTCTGCTGCACATCTGGGCTGCCTCCAGCCAGCCCAATGGGGAGCCTAACAGGCTTTTTGCCTCCCAGCTGGGCTGCAGCGATGGGAGATGCCAGCGTCCCTCCAGAACTTTTTTTGATCGCTGGGTGAAGTGAGGAGCTCGCTCCAGAAGCTGAAATCGTGGATTTGGTGGAGCTGGGAGAGTTCCAGAACAGGCCTTGTACACCTATATAATCCTTATGAGGGTCACATCAATACAACACACAAATAGTAACATCCTATATTTTCCACTATTGAATTCATGCTCCAGCCAACTCATCCAAAAGTCAGAACTGATGGAGGAAGGTGGGCAATATATTTCAACACTCCCCCTCACGACTAGGCTATTTTAGTCCTTAGACGTGGGATCGATGTAGGCTGCAGAATCGTTTTATTTAATACTGCGTTGGCAGGGTCTTGAACTCAAGACCTCTTGGCTCGGATACCATATTGAATTCATGCTCCAACCAACTCATCCAAAAGTCCGAACTATGGAGAGGGCCGAACATTACACTCCAACACCCCTCCTTACGTCGATGCTTCTTTGGAGCTATATGACGTGTGCGGCGGAAGCGGGGGCAGGCCGCAATTATTTATTGCGTTTACTGGGTTTTGAACTTGAACCCTGAACCTCTTGGTTGTAAGTTTATGCACCTTGTATGAAATTATATAATTGCCCTGCACCGTAGTATCTAAGGCCCTGTTCGGAACTTGGCCGCTCCGCGGAGTTGGGGAGCTGGCCTTTAGCAGCTCCATCAAACTAAGCTAAAGTCTTGTCCACTTCCGGAGTGGAGTTAAAGGAGTAGAGAGCAACCGAACGCAGCCTAAGGCCCCTCGGTAGATCATTGCTAGTTTTCCATAAAGCTAGTACGATTTATCTCTGGATTTCAATCACTCGCATGGAAAAAACCACTCTGACTTGGCGCTTTCTAGCTGGTGACCTCCTCCTAGTGAAACTAGACTAACAGTATCATGTCATACACGCAGTATCTGGGAATATCGACGTGCTGATAGTCATGGCACTTGCACAGGCTGGCATCGGCGACAGTCCTCTTCAGGTGCCAGTCGACACCCAAGATGTACACACGGTTCCCTTGTGGGAATCTCGGGTGGCATTGCTCTGGCGATCCAAAAGCCCTGCAGCAACTCCTGCTCAGGAACAGAACTTGGCCTCCCAGGTCCTTCACCTCCAACCACTGGCCCTCGGCCAAGCCAACCTCGAATACCTGCAGCCCTCCGTTGATCATCAACCAGGACACACATGGCCTTTCTGCTCCACCGTACCATCAGTAGCTTTTTCTTATCAGCTGACACGACCAGGTGGCAGACAGTGTTGTTCACGGGTTGAACGGATGGGCTCATCTTCATCACATGCTCGCAGCCATGGTGGACGAGGTCATGGGAGGAGAGCTCCCCTGAGTGTGTGACGGTGAAGATCTTGCCACGGTAAGATGCCATGTTCATGTAATCAGCACCACTAAACAAATAGCATCTTGGGTCGGCCGGCCAGAGAGGCTCAATCATGAAGTCCCTTCCGTCGAGAATCGCCACGAACGAAGAACACATGACGATATTGGACGGCTCCTTGTGGTGCCACGGGATCTCGATGAGGGCATCCGATGCGTGGAAAGGGTTGCGAAGGTACAAGCACCATCGTCCTCCGCGACGGTTATTGTCATGGCAGCAGAGGATCCAGCCGCCGGAGGAGCCGCGGCAGCAACGGACGAAGCGGTTGAGCCAAGGCGTGGTGCCCCGTGTCGGCAGCTGGTGCCGCGCGGCGAGGCGCCAGGAGCGGCATACGGCCCCGAAGCTGAGGTGGTCGGCATGGGAAGTGAGATGGCCGAGGATAAGGCCGGCCAGATCCGGCCAGGGAGAAGGCGCCTTGCCGAGGATGAGGCCGGCAAGATCGAGCGGGAGGTCCGGCCAGGGAGAAGGGGCCTTGCCGAGGCAGAGACCCATGGTCGATCGATTAGGCTATCGCCCCTTTCTCAATGCAACTTCAAGGTCTTCTAGGGTGACTTGGTCATCACCATCTCTATCTAGCTCCTCAAAGAATCACTTCCCTGCAGCAACCATAAAATATATACCCCGGTGAAATCTTGGTCTAAAAGGATTGCCGTTCATAGTCCAAGTAGAGTTTACTAATATTATAAAACAATAAGATGGTACTATTACGTTCTCCGTTGTTCAACGAGGCTAACTGCTAATGTGCAAGTGAAGCTCACAAGCCTAAAAAACTACTCCCTCCGTCACAATATAAGACGTTTAGCTTGCAAAAACGTCTTCTATTGTGGAATGGAAGGAGTATTTTCTACGTGAGCAGAGTAGAAGAATCTCGTATCAGATAATCAGAATTACACTGTTAGCACAGATCCTCAATCTGCCATAATGTATTTGTTGGTAGGACTTAGTTGTATGGATAGGATAGTAGAGGGTGGACATTGTAAAAGGTGCAGGTGTATACATTGTGTGGAAGGGGAATGGATAAGGTAGAGTTCTCTAGAAAAATCTACCTCCTCTCTCTCGTCGGCGACCTCACTTCCACCCAAAAAAATCAACATGGCATCAGAGCGGGTGACGGCGATGGGCCCTCGCCGGTGGTGAATCAGCTACTCGCAGTGGTGCTTACTGCGAGGTGGAGTGCAGAAGGGGGCGTGCCCTAGGCTGGGGCAGAGCAAGTTCTAGGAGCACGAGTGGATTAGAGTGGAGAAAGAAGGGGTGGTGCTGCTGGTAGCCTGGAGCGGAGAAGGTGACATTGCTGCCACTGCTGCTGCTGTTTGGCTAGAGGAGAGAAGAAGGGGGCGCTGCTCCTGCTGTTTGGCCGGGGCGAAGAAGGAGTCTTAAGAAGAAGGGGGCGCTGCTGCTACTGCTGTTGTTTGGCTGGAGAGCAGAGAAGAAAAGGGAGGTCTGCTTGTTGTGAGGTTTGTTGGTTAAGCCCAGAATAACTATGGAATGGGAGATAACAGTGATTCTCCGGCGGTTGTTACAGCCGGAGAACTCGCGGCTGTGTTACAAGCGATGGACGAGAGATACCAGGCTTTGTTCAACGCAATCAGTAGGCAAGCTGGAAGTCCTAGACCAGAGGCTGAAGTCAAGGGGGAAATTCAGCCTTTGCAGATGCCACATGTGAAGCTTGAAGGTCCAGAAAGCTATTCCAGCTGGGCAGAGCATGCCGAAACCATCTTGGTTTCAAGGAATTTGGAAGGATATGTACTTGGAACAGTGGAGAAACCCATAGAGGAAAATTCGAAGGAGGGACAGAAGTGGAAGGTGATGAATGCTTTTGTGAGGGCATGGCTTTTAAGCTCATTGTCATCTCAGATTGCAAAACAGGTGGAGCGGATTAAGGACGCTTCGGAGATTTGGAGGCTCTTGAAGGGTACATATTCAGGAGTGGGAAATGAAATGTTGGCATGTAGGTTTCAAAAAGAACTACATGAGCTGAGTCAAGGTGAGAAGACTGTGGTGGAGTATGTGTCAAAATTGAAAAGGTTGTGGAGTGACCTGGACTACTACGAACCGGTTGAGATGGAATGTGGGAAATGTGTTGAAAAATACAGCAAGTGGACTGAAAGAAGGCGTGTTACGGTCTTCTTAAATGGTCTTCATTCTAAATTCGAAAATAGGAGAGCAACACTCTATGGTATTGGAAAGTTGCCGAGTCTAGAACAAGCCATCTCTGCTATTATAAGTGAGGAGACTCGGTTGAGATTGGAGGCTGGAGCGGCTGTCCCAGAGGGAGTGGTGCATAGACGTTCAGCTCTCCTAACTGCAGAGAGCGGGAATTATCCAATAACCGGGACTAATACATATAGTCGGGTGTGTTTCGAGTGTGGTCTAACAGGACACCTGAGGGCAGCATGCCCACAGTTGATGGGAGGAGGCCGTGGTAGAGGCTTGGACTGGCGTGCCAGGGGTCGTGGTCGAGGGTTTGATGGATGTGGTGGTGGTCGTGGAAGAGGTATGCGTCCAGCAGGAAGGGCAAATACCTCGGTTGTTGTTGAAGAAGCACCTAGAACTGTAAGCATTGAGATGACAACTGATGAGTTAGAGAAGTGGCATCAGTTTAAAGGTTTGAGCCTTGGTGATAAGCAATCCTCAGAGCCATCTCCATCATCTGCATCAACTAATTTTTCTGGTAATAGCTCTTTTACTGGGAAGTGTAATGATAATTATAAGAGTGCACAATGGTTAATTGACTCAGGGGCATCCAGGCATATGGCCGGCTCAACTAGAGGTTTTTATAACTATGTCTCTGATCTAAACAAGGAGAGTGTGAGACTAGCAGATGGCTCTACTCAAACTGTTAGTGGGTCTGGGGATGTCAAGTGTAGCCCAAATATATCATTATCTTCTGTGTTGCATGTTCCTGCATTCCCAATTAATCTTCTGTCAATAAGCTGCATCACTAAAGACCTGAATTGTGTTGCTATATTCTTCCCTCACTGGTGCATTTTTCAGGAACTTGGGACTGGAAGAAAGCTTGGGATGGGGAGCATGCATAATGGGCTATATTATTTGGATAATGATATATCCCCTATCGTGGTTGCTGCTGTGTCTTCGTCACCACTAGAAGAATTCCTACTTCAACATTGTCGGTTAGGA